AAAGAAAAAAAAAATGGAGGCCAGTCCCCCTGTCTGCCAGCAGGATCCAGGAAGACCGGCAATACTGGGTGGCAGTTTTAAAATAGGCAGAACGTTTTTTGTTTTTTTTTTTCTTTCAAGAGAAAGACAATAAGACCTGGAACTGTGAGAAAACCTGAGATGGATCCAGAAAGAAGTCAGAAGGCGAACACCAAGAGCTGAGACAAATTTCACTCTGCTCACCTTCAGAAGTTGCATGTTTTTTTTTATTTCTCTTTTTTCCATTTATTTAGGTTTTTTGTTGTATTTGTTTTTATGGTTTGATTTGTTTATTTATTCTCCCTGTCATATTGCATTTTAGTATTTCTTCTTTCACTTCACTCATATTCTAAATAACACACAAATCTTGGTCTTTTTATTCAGATTATGTATTTCTTTTTTAAAAAATATTTTATTGATTATGCTATTACAGTTGTCCCAATTTTTCTCCCCTTTATTCCCCTCTGCCTTGTACTCTCCTCTCCACCCACATTCCCCCTCAACCTTAGTTCATGTCTGTGGGTCATATATATAAGTTACTTGGCTTCTCCATTTCCATACTATTCTTAACCTCCCCATCCCCCTCCCTGATGATAACCCTCCATGTAATCTCCATTGCTCTGATTCTGTTCCTGTTCTAGTTGTTTGCTTAGTTTGTTTTTGGGGTTTTTTTAGGTTCATTTGTTGATAGTTGTGAGTTTGTTGTCATTTTACTTCATATTTTTATCTTCTTTTTCTTAGATAAGTCCCTTTAACATTTCATATAATAAAAGCTTGGTGATGATGAAGTCTTACAACTTGACCTTATCTGGGAAGCACTTTATCTGCCCTTCCATTCTAAATTAGAGCTTTGCTGGATACAGTAATCTTGGATGTAGGTGCTTACCTTCCGTAGGACTTCTTTCCAGCCCCTTCTTGCCTGCAAGTTTTCTTTTGAGAAATCAGCTGATAGTTATGTGGGAACTCTTATGTAGGTAACTCTCTCCTTTTCTCTTGCTGCTTTTCAGATTCTGTCTTTATCTTGAATCTTGAGTAATGTAATGATGATGTGCCTTGGTGTGTGATTCATTGGGTCCAAATTTTGGGGGACTCTCTGAGCTTCCTGGACTTTCTGGAAGTCTATTTCCTCTGTCAGGTTGGGGAAGTTCTATATTATTTTTTCAAATAACTTTTCTACTTGTTGCTCTTCTCCTTCTCCTTTTGGCACCCCTTTGATTCAGGTGTTGGAAGGTTTAAAGTTTTCCTGGAGGTTCCTAAGCTTGTCCTCATTGTTTTGAATTCCTGTTTCTTCATTCTGTTCTGGTTGAATGATTATTTCTTCCTTCTGCTCCAAACCGTTGATTTGAGTCCAGGTTTCCTTCCTTTCACTGTTGGTTTCCTGTACATAGCCTTCACTTCTTCCTCTGTTTTGTGACCATACTCAATAATTTCTGTGAGCATCTTGATTTCCAGAGTTTTTAACTGTGCATCTGATAGATTGGCTATCTCTTCATTGCTTAGTTCTTTTTCTTGAACTTTGATATATTCTTTCATTGGGGCCATATTTCTTTGTCTCAGTGCTCCTGTTATATATTAAGGGGTGGAGCTTTAGGTGTTCACCAGGGTGAGGCAACCCACTTCAATTAGTTGTGGTGCTGTATACAGGGGAGGTGGTCAGAGAAGGAACAGTGTCACTTGCTTGGCTCTCGCCCTGCTTGCAGTTTTTTTCCCCACTACTCACAAGCAAATTGGGCCCTTCTGGTGCTGATTCCCAGGTGGGTGGACTTGTGTATGTTCTAGGATCCCATGTTCTATGCAATGAACTTTCCTGTGAGGCTGGGAGTTTCTCCTGCCATGGTAAACCCCACAGGTTTTTACAGCCAGAGGTTTTGAGGTTTTAGCTTCCCATGCTGGAACCCTGGGTAATGTAGTCTGTCTCACTCTGAAGTTGTTCCCCTTGTTTCATCTACCTGCAAATGTGAGACCATCCAGTCTGTTGCCTTGCTGCATGTATTCTCTGCCCTGGCTTCCTGTCTCTGCCCTTTTCACCAGCCTGGATGAATGTTTCTTTTTTAATTCCTTGGTTGTTGGACTTTCAGTTCAATTTTGTGGCAGTTCTGGTTATTTTTTGCTTTTAAATTTGTTGTTGTCCTTCTTTTGGTTGTGCATGGAGGCAAAATGTATCTACCTACACCTCCATCTAAGATGGAAGTTCTTAAGTATTAATTTTTTATTTGAAACTTTTATTATATAAAAGAGGTTTTTTTCTGGAGCAAATTTCATAATGTTAATTTAATGCCATGATCAATTTCATACTACAGTTAAACAATTTCTCATTTTTTCCATTTTACTAAAGTTATTGTCACTGGAATCAGTTCCAGATTTTTATATGTAACCCTTACATTGATGCTATATTTCATTATTATTTTTTGTCTTCATGACAATTTATAGCTATTAGGGCTTCTGATATTATGAGCTTTCTTTTGTAGTTAATTAACCAAGACCAATATCTTTCTACACATACATTGTAGATCATATTTTGTCAAGAAAATTAAGTTTTTTCATTAACTTTTAATAAATGATATATTTTTACCATTTTCCTTTTTTCTGTTTTCAATATTACTGATTAGTAGTTATTTTTCAGTCAGTTTTTACGCTGTAACAAAACTGTGTCTGATTTTAGCCACTGTTAATTTCATTTTGTACTGATTATTTCTATGAGTCCAGTTTTCCATATCAACCTGGTCACAATATCCCTGGCATTAAAATAGTAAGGCCAAAAAAAAAAAAAAAGAACCTCAAAAACAATTCTAGGCAACTATTCTGACACGTTTGGTGACTTTATAAAAACAGAATTTTAGCAATGGAACAGATGTTAGGAATCACCTCATTTAATCGTTTTATTTTACAAGTAGAAAACTAAGGTGTGGAAAGGTTAAATGACTTGCCCAAATAGAGATCAAGAATGCTTGAGCAAAGACAGTGATTAGTAAGGGTGAAGGCAATGGACAGAAGTGACAAATTTTGAGAGATCAAAGTCAGAACATGTTTGATTGGACAGTGGGACAAGGAAAAAGGATGAGTTTAGGATGATTCTGAATTTTAGTCTGGGGTGATTGGGTGGATGTTAGTGCCATTAACTAAGACAGGAACTATTTGAATAGGTTATGTTTGAGGAAGAAAGGTAGATAATGAAATCAGTTTTCAATGGCAAGTCTGAGATGCCAACTGGACATCTAAGTGGAATTTGAGTATTTAAATAAGAAATTTTTTAAAGCTTTGGGTGGAAAGATAGACTTGGCAGTTATCAGCTTACAGGTGGTAGTCAAACAAGAGTAGACAGTCACCACTCTGGGACAATATTCACCAAGGAGGCAAAGTTGTGGCCTGCATTTGTGTTTTGTTTGGTCCAAAAGTTTAACAAAATTCTAATTAGTGTCCAACATTTATTTTTTGGAGAGTTCACGTGTCTGTATATTGATTTCTCTTTAAAAATGACAGGATATGAAATCACTGGGCTACCATTACTGGTTGGCAAAAATCAACTAGAGTTGAGTAGGGAGACCATGAGCTCCAGTTCTCCATAGTCTCTATCCACAAGCATCATCCTTTTGTGTTCACTCCTTGGATGCTGAAGACTTTTGAATTTGAAACTTCTGGTGTAGCATAGGAAGATCAAGGGGTAGAAGGCTAAGGACAAAGAAAAGAAAAAGGAGCCCCTTGATGGTAACTGAGGGGTGATGGTCAGAAAGTTAAAGAGGAGAAACAAGAGGACTTGGTAACAAAGAAGCAAAGGGATCAGGGTTGAATGGAGGAGAAACAAATCACATGAAGTATTAGGAATTGTTCTAGCTATATTATTCAGCTATGCACTCAAGCCCAAAATTTAGGAGTCATTTTTCACATCTTTCATTTCCTTATTGCCCTTATCTAATCCATCTCCAAGTCTGTTATATCCACCTCCAGATTTTTTCCTTATATCAATATTTATCCATTTCTCTCCATCATTTCTTACCTGATCATTGTAAAAGCAATGATTTTCTTTGCATCCTTTCTTATCTCCCCATACTTCTTTACATGCACAGCAGCCAGGCTGATCTTATAAAACCAGATCTTGTCACTCACATGTTTAAAACTCTTCACTGGCTTCCCATTACACTTAAAAGAAAATCATCCCCCTTACAGTGACCTAGTAAATCTCTGCAAGATGAGAACTCTCCTTGGCTTGTTGATCTCATCTTCTATTCTTCCTCTAGTCTACTTTGTCACTGTCTCAAGGGCACCACATTCTGTCCTATCCCCTTAACTTTTGAACAAATGGATGGTTCTCTTAGTTCCTGTTCCTCCAGATCTTTACAGAGCTGTCTTTTCTCAACGATCCTCTTCAGAGGGCACTTCCTTGGCATCTCAAACTAAAGGGGCACCCTTTCTCCTTTAGTTTTCCAGGGACTTATTTTTCTTCCACACTCTATGATTTCTAGAAAGCATATGTATTTCTTGAGACACTCAATGTTTGCTTTCTCAACTAGAAAGTAATATCCAGGAAGCTAGGTACAGTGTTTTGCTCACTGGTGTATGCCATACTCTGTACCAGGGCTTGCCTGGGACGTAGAGGACTTGAATAAACTGTAATGGAATGAATACGGAAACAACAGTCATACACAGCACAGGTGGAGTAAAAAAAAAAAAAAAAGGAATAAAAAGTGCACTTTTGTATTTCAATAACTTTTTTTCTTAAATGCCAACAAGATTTTGCTATTAGGAGTAATTTGTTGGGTAACAAGGTAACCCTAGAAGAACCCAATCCAGTCAAGCTGTTCAAGTCGCCCCTGTCCGCGCCTGCGCAAATTACCGCCGCCTCCCCCGGCCCCGGGGTCCCCAACTGGGACAGCAACGTCCACCTCTTCCCCAGGGCCTGGACAGCCTACCGCGGTCCCGGTCCCGGCGCGTGTGGATGACGTCATTAGGCGCGTTTCCCGGTAGTCCGTAGTTACCCTGAGTCTGCGGAAGTGGAGACCGTGGGGCGGGCAGCTGAGACAGGTAACTGGTGCGGTCCTTGATGGATCCCTGCTTTCTTCGTCTCCCGCCCCGGGTTGGCTGTGGGCACAGTAACATCCCGTTCTGAAGGCGAACGGGAGCTCGCCCTTACTCATCTTTTTTCGGTCTCGGGGTCCCCATTCTCTCTCATTCGTCCCAGACTCCTAGAAACTGAATGCGTCCTGGGGACTGGGCTGAGCGGCCACGTCTCTCTGCCTCGGCTCTCAGGGTGGTGATGGCTCTGAGTCTCTCCCCAGTGGCACAGACCCTTTCTCAGCCTACAGCTGCCAACTCGTTCCTCTCGGCTCCAGGCCCATCTCACCCAGCCTCTCCGCTCCTAGCCCCGCAGGTTCATCTCCAGTCTTGTGTAAGGAGGAGACAAAATAGTTACCAATTCTGTTTGTTTCTACATGCAGAGAAACCCATCCACCACTGCCCCGCCCCTGCCCCCAAGGATCCTTACCGAGAGCACCAAGTTTTGAGTTTTGGTGTGCCTGAAGACCATTCATTCTGTCAGTCTGGAGTTTTGCTCAGTAATGCATGTATTTGTTGAGTAAGGGGGTGGAGCAGCAATGCGAAAATTTGTTGGGATAAATGATCAACGTGGGTCAAATCACCTGTTGAGATAGAATAAATAGATATAACACTTCATTAAAAAAATGCTCCGTGTTTCTGGATTTCTTTTTGATTTCCAAGCACTGATGCCAATTATGCTTGCAAAGGTAACTATCAAATAAAAAACCGAACCCTAGTAGAAATATTTAGACCGCAAAAACAAACAAATAAACAAAAGCCAATAGGATTCATAATTGTTTGTAAAGGAATACAGGTTATTACAAAACCAACCAGAAGGATTTTGAACTCTTATCTCATTGGTGGTTTGATTTTGTATTTTCTTGTACTTTAGTACACTCTATTTCTGAATAGGGCATACCTACTTACTACAGTTCTGCAAAGCCTCCCAAATGACTTGCTAATTGGTAAATTTGTTTCTCATATTTAGTGGGCTAGAATGTTTACAGATAAATAGTAGTCACTCATTGTTGCCAATCTGCTATATCCCAGGGACCGTGTTCAACACTTTGCATGTGTTTTCTCCTTAGCTCACACAACACTGAATTAGAAATTGTATCATCAATTTGCATAGAAGGAAACTGAGGCTCAGTTGTGTGAAATTATTCATAATATTCATATAATATTCATAATAACTAAGTGGTGGACCCAGGCTTTAAGTTCATGTTTGTGTATGACTTCAAAGCCTTTTTTAAAAGTACTTTTTAAAAAAGTATTTTGACTTTTGGATCAAGAAATTTTAAGTGTACTAAACAATTTCTTCTTTAAATCTTAAGTATGCTAAACATATTTTAATTTTCCCTATGTCTCAGAGCAGTTATTATGAAACATGTATTGCACTCTGTTGTAGTATGATGATTTCCTAAAAGCTTTTATTATATTTGACCCCCAAACTGTTTTGCATTTTGAGTGTGCCTGTACTTGATATCTATTCCTTAATGTCACCAGGAGATAGTAAACCACTGCAATTAAAAGCAGGGATGGGGAAACCATACCTCCAGGATTCAATTCCTTGCTCAACTGAGTCTGGCAAGACAGTTGGCCAGGGCAAGGTAGTTGACCCCTCTACAACTCAGTTTCCTTGTGAAAGAGAAAGAGTACTTTTGTCAGAAGACTGTGAGGATAAAATGAGTTAGTATATGTAAAGAACTTAGAACAAACCAGGCTTCTTTAAAGAGCCACTTTGTGTTTGCTAATACGGGGGGCGGGGGGTGAAAGGTTTACAGTTGTGAGTACATGAAACAGTTTATTCTTGTGTTATTATTTATTAGTCATTGTACTATTTTCCATATGAACAACTGTAAACCTACTTTTGCCCCACTGTGGTATTATTAGTTTGGTTTTGACCATAGATTCTTTGAAAATTGCATTCTACTTCTTTGAAAATTGTTTTTTCTTGGATGATATTTGATATATGATAATTACCAATGTAGTAGAGAATTACATTATTTTAAATGGAATCCCTTATCTTAAGCCATTTTAGGAAAATGTTAATTTATTAAGTTCTTTCATCATTTTAGTACTGTAATAAACCTTTTTCTTGGAATATTTGGGGTAGATATTTCAAATATTTCACTTTATTATGTGTATCAAAATAATGGACTTTATCTTCTATTTTGAATTTGGGGCATATTACAGTGGTTTAAATTATGGTTTACCAATAGATGGAAACCCTCTGTACTTTTTAATTGAGTGTCAGTTTACACATTCATTTGTGGTGCCCTGCACAGATGTACTTTTGCACTCATGTTATCATGGTTCTCTGTGGACAAGTATCTCCTTATAAAACCACCATTATACACATGCCCACATACACATAAAGGTCTCTCTTCAGCATATTTCTCTTTCCTTTTTTCTCTCCCTTCAAGGAGCTAAGAAAAATGGACTTTATCAACAAAGTAAAATAATATTCCTTATGAAATTTGCAAGATATGTACTCATTTCAGAGTATATTTTAAACCAAGGCCAGCTAAGAGTTGATTTTGACTCCTTTGGTGTCCATAGTGAGGAACTTGAGAATAATGATCTATCCTTTATTTTAAGGTTAAAACTTACTGTTGAAAATATAGGCTATATTTTTTTAAAGATGTTTGTTGTGGTAATTTACTATTTTAACCATTTTTAAGTCTACAATTCATTGGCACTAAGCATATTTGCAATATTAATTATCACTATTTTCCACTTCAAAAATTTTTAATTATCCCAAGTAAAAACTGCACACCCATTAAACAATAAATCCCTTTGCCCCTCACCTTCTCCCCACACTTCCTCCCTGCTCCAGCCCCTGTTAACCCCTATTCCACTTTCATCTCTGCATTTCCTATTCTAAGTACCACAAGTAGGTAGAATCACGCACTGTCCTTTTGTGTTTGGTTTATTTCACTTAGCATGTATTCAGGGTTTATCCATGTTGTAGTATATATCAGAATTTCTCTTTATGGATCATTAATATTTCATTGTATGTATATACCATATGGTATACTTTTGATGTACATGAATTATGCTTTAAATTTTTTCCTTTGTTTTTAAATTTATTTAAACTAAACAAAAAAACTCACACATAGTTCACCCATTTCTTCTGGCTCCCACCCCCTGACACTGGTTGCCACCAGTGTACCATGAGCTTGTTTTTTTAAAAAAATTTATTTTTAGATTCCACATATAAGATGGTATTTGTCTTTTTCTGTCTTATTTCACTCAGCATAATTCCCCTGAGGTCCATCCATGTTGTTGCAAATGGCAAGATTTCATTCTTTGTGTGACTGAATAATATTCCATTGTATATATAAAGAGATTGTGATACATAGTATTTTTATTCAGCCACCAATGGAATATATATATTTATATATAATCACAATTTTTTAACCTATTCATTCATCAGTAAGCACTTAGGTTTTCTCAGTGTCTTGGCTGTTGTAAATAATGCTGCAATGAACATGACATGGTTTTCCTGTTCTTTGGATAAATATGCACAAGTGAAATTGCTGGATCATATGGTAGTTGTATTTTCACTTTTATGAGGGACCTCCATACTATTTTACATAGTGGCTGTACCAGTTTACATTCTCACCAACAGTGCACAGTGGTTCCCTTTTCTCCACAGCAGTTATTATTTCTAGTCTAGTCATTCTAACAGATGTGAGGTGGCATCTCATGGTGGTTCTGATTTGCATTTCCCTGATGATTAGTGATGCTGAGCATCTTTTCATGTACCTGGTGACAATCTGTATATATTCTTTGGAAAAATGTCTTTTGAGACTTGCCCATTTTTAATCTTTTTTTTTTTTGCTTTTGATTTCTGTGAGTTATTTATATGTTTTGGATAGTAACCCCTTGCATGCTTTACAAATAGTTTCTGCCATTCAGTAAGTTGCTCTTTCATTTTGTTGATGGTTTTCTTTGCTGTGCAGAAGCGTTTTAGTTTGAATAGCCTCATTTTATTTTTTTTTGCTTTTGGTGTCACTTTAAAAAATTAAAAACTCAAAGACCTTTGTCAAGGAGTTTACCATGTATGTTTTCTTCTAGGAGTTTTATGGTTTCAGGTCTTATGTTCAGGTCTTTATTTTGAGTAATTTTTTTTAAGGTGTCAAATAGTGTCCATTTTCATTCTTTTGCATGTGCCTGTCCTATTTTCCCATCATCAATTATTGAAGAGATTGCCCTTTCCCCATTGTATATTCTTGACTCCTTTGTCATAAATTAATTGACTTTATATCTGTTCATATATTTCTGGGCTTTTTACTCTATTCCATTCATCTATGTGTCTGTTTTTATGTGAATTATGACTCTATACTTCTCATTTCATGTCATGAACTTAACATGAACTTAATACTTGGTGATTTGATTTGTCTGTGAGCTACTGGAGGATAGATAGGAGATACCTACTGAAATATCACTGTTAGTGAACTATGAACAAAATACCTAGTAACAATGTTAAACTGGAACTTGAGCATACATTACAGTGTATTTTTCTTCTCATTTAATATTTAGTCTAAAAATAGTAAGAACAAAATAATAACATTACTTAGCATTTCTTTAGTGTTACTGTATATCAGACATTGTTCTTAACATTTTACCTGTGAAGTAGGTGCTGTCATTGTTCAGTTTTACAGATGAAGAAACTGAGGCAAAGAGAAATTAAATTAATTGTTAAAATTATGAAGCTGGTATGTGGGGAAATTGTGATTTGAACCTGGGCTGTGTGACTCCAGAATTGATTTATCCTAAGTTTTGAGTTGACCCTTAGGCCAGTATTAGCTTTGCAATGTAAATTGTTTTGCCTGCTGCACTCTCCTTCTATATGAACTTTGAAACAGAACCCTACTTCTGAGCTTAGTAGGCAATAGAAGAGCAACTGAACCCAAGCTGTCAAAAGGGTAACAGGTGCCTCTCCTTTGATTGGGGGGATAGCATATTAATGGAATTTAGGC